CCTGCCAGCTGCCAAGACCTTTTGCTTATATTAATACAGTGAGAGAAGATAGGTGCAGGGCATGGAGTAGAGCCATTGGAATGGAGCTTCTTTAGTATTCCTGTTCTCACATTTTCATCATCACTATTCTGGTTAGCTTCAAAAGATCCTACAAGCTTTTTCTTCTACTATCAAGGCTGTTTCCCAGTCTCATTCTTTATAATCTTGTGATACGGATTTTCACAGACAAGTGGGCCAGATTTTTAACATTTTAAAAACGTTATTAATCTTTGATCTTATCCAGCAAGAATGAACTTGTTCTGGAAATTTCTTCTATAATGGGCATTGCATTTTTAAAATGTTAGGCTTGTCATGGGGATTATGGTGGGGGGTGATACTAGTACTTATTTCTGATTATAAACTTGTGGGACCATATGAACCAGAAGATTAAGAAGGATAGCTTTTCTGAGCTGTATGGCACCCTTGTGTTTGCATTTTCTGGAGGAAAGGAAAGCTGCTTTGTTTTATTAGAGATTACTTGATGTCACATTTGGAAGGCAGACTGTCATAATTGTTTTTTCCCATTGCCATCTTTGGCATAGTAATCTTTCTTCCCTAATGTAATAAATATATGCCTGGAAAGTTTTACATAGATCAAGATGTATTAAATGTTTTCAAAGCATCTGTATTATTATGTTAAGACATGGTGATGAGTCCTTTTGTAAAATGAACCCTATACTTTGGACTGTTTAAATATACAGTGGGTTAAACTGAGTGTATGTATGAACAAGGGAACATATAGTAAGGGAGTAATGTTTTTTTAAAAGGTTAATTACAAAAGGATTTGTATAGGTGGATTTTAAGCTGAATTCTAAAGGAACAACAAAGGTAGGTGGGAGAATTTGGTAGAGTGGGTGAGAAAGTTTGAGGAAGGTGTAAAAATGATCAGATTGGCTCCTTAGTATAATAGTTACTGTGCAGCAGTAGTCATCGCTTTTACTCTGATTCCACATGAAGACACAAGGGTTTTTTGTTTGCTTGTTTTCAGAGAGAGAGCCTTGCTCTGTGGGCCAGGCTGGAGTGCACTGGCGCTCTCAGCTCACTGCAACCTCCAATTCCCAGGTTCAAGTGATTCTCCCACCTCAGCTTCTTGAGTAGCTGATATTACAGACATGTGCCACTAAACCCAGCTAATTTTTATATTTTTAGTAGCAACGGGGTTTCACCATGTTAGCCAGGCTAGCCTTGAACTCCTGACCTCAGGTGATCTGCCTGCCTTGGCCACCCAAAGTGCTGGGATTACAGACATGAGCCACCGTGCCCAGTGACACAAGGTTTTACTTGTGCACTGCTTTAGATCTCTTCCTGCCCTGGGCTAGACTAGAAATTGGCCGTGGATCTTTGTACAGTTCCCACGTTATTATGTGAACTCAGCAGCTTATGTTGGAAGAAATGGAGGGAGGAAATTGGAGGGAAAAAGAGGGAGGAACATTTCTCTGCATTTAGGGATTCAAGGGGTCAGAAAAACAAGCTTTAAGCTTTTGGTTGTACACCTCTTGAGCTCTAGCTTTCCTTTCACTGAAGGGTTATGGATCTTATTTCAGAGGGAAGGAAACTGTCCTGTCCCAAGCCCACTGTGACACGTGACCCTTAACTAGTGTACCTGTGGGGAGGGCTTCAGTTACCACACTAGAGAATATGGGAGGGCTTCCCTTCCCCTGCCCCCATTTATAGACATGGGAGTGTCTCCATTGCTTTGTATGCTGTTGCATTTTCTCCTCCCTCTTTGTTTTTCCTAAGCTAAGCTCTAAGCTAATTCTGTGCAAAATAAATACTGATTGTTATTATAAATTGCTTGCCATGAATGCCTGATAATGTACAGTAAAATAGGATTCTGCATACCATTAAATATGTCAAATATTACAAACTTTAAGGTTCTTTTGAAATTACGATACTAAACTCAGTTCACTTTTGCTTAGCCTTCACAGTTGTTGATCACATAGCATGGTCATCCACTCACAGCTTAAAAAAATACAGGGAGCATCGGAGAGAATGGGTAAAGTAAAATTTTGATGTTTTTAAAATAGCACCTAAATCTATGAAAGTTGATTTGGTTTCTTGTTTGTACGGGAGGGAGAGGGTGGGTAGTACTGGGGGGAGGGGGTGGATATTGGGAAGATAGCATGCAACGTATAAAATCATGTCAGATACTACCTAGGCTAAGGTTGTAATGTTACTAATAAAATTTAAGTGTTAATATAAGTTTCAGAAAAGGCAGGACCATAGAATGGAAGTGTTGGGAATTACAGTGGGCTTATTTTTTTCCCCCCTGACATATGGAAGGGGATTTTGAGAATAGCAGTATTTGAGTCAAATTTAGAGAGGAGGCCTCTTTTTAAAGTGACCTGTCCATATTCCCTGAATGGAACTGCCTGCCTCAGTACCACCTTAGGTTCTGATACATTGGTGACAGACCTGGAGATGAATAATATGCATCCTCATTTTTATTGTGTACTTGTGACTCAGGTGTTCTCAAAGATTATAATTCATGAAACTCGTGAAAGGGTTGAACAAAAGAGGGAGGTAAGAAAGTTGTTGCTTGGTAGAGAATTTGGTAGAAATAGGAATTATTAGAAAAGTTGATGTTTCTATTAAAATGAAAAACGCTTGCTAGAGTTCTAAATCAAGTTTCTAATTCTAAAAACTTGGCTGTGTAGTTATGTACAAGGCCTAATGAACTATTGTAGAGGTTATAGGACAGAGAGATCTCCATGGTTTTATAGGTGGGATATTTTTTGTTGTTGACAGAAGTAACTTCGTCTGATTTCTCTTCCATTATATTATTTTATTTTATTTTTTTACTTTATACACTAAAAATTTGGATTAAAAAATGAAAATTGTAAGAAATCAAATGTTACTCAAAAAGTGTTGTTCTGATCCCAACTCTGCAATTCTTCTACATGAAGCCATTTGCCAAAGCCAAATACGGTTTACTTAGGACTGTCCCCCCAAACCTTGTTTCTATAAGCTTTGTCAAAGCTATTACTCCAGGTTGTAGTGCTTGTTTTTCTACTTTCCTTTGATCTAAGTCCTGTCTTTCCATCAAATTTTGGCTACTTACTGCATGAAGCTTTTCCCAATATCTCCATTCTTGGTGGTAATTTTAGGCTAAGAATTCCTGAAGTACTACCTAATTGAAACATACATTTGATACTTGGATCATGTTATCTTGTATTATAACTTATTACTCCATTAATATATCCTCGGCTGGGTGCAGTGGCTCCTGCCTGTAATCCCAGCATGTTGGGAGGCCGAGGAGGGAGGGTCATTTGAGGCCAGGAGTTGGAGATCAGTCTGGGCAACGTAGTGAGACCCTGTCTCTACAAAAAAATTTAAAAAATTTTAAAAATTAATATGTCCTATTTCTTTAGCAAAATCATTGGCTCCTTGTGGGGAGAGAGCTTGTCTTATATGCCCCTTTGTAATTCCATTGCCTAGCACAGCAGATGTGGTCACTGATAGGTTTGATTCTGTGATTTGGGTCCAATGTCAGTGTGACAGGATACTTTTTTTCCCCCCATAATTTAGGTTATTTTTATATGACTTTATGCCCACAAAACCCAAAGATAAAACACATTAAATTGAAAATAATTTCTTTTATTATAAGGTGATTTGGTTCCTATTTGCAGTTCTTTCTTCTTCTTTTTATAAAGTAGGCGCTGTTTTACCTAGTTTCTTACGAAAAACATGGTTTGGGCCAGATATCTTGACAGAAACCAAATTATACCAGCATTTTTCTTTTAAAAATCATTGTTGATTTAGCTGAATTGTACTTCCATGGAATAAGCCCAAATAAATTTGTTAAGTACTGCATGGTTATGCAGCCAGATTGTTTTAAAATGTCAACCTTTATTAAAGTCCCCTAAGCAGAACTTTAAAAATATCAATAAACAGTCAGTTGCTATTCCCTCTCAGAGTATTGCTGTATCTCAAATTATTAAGCGTTTTATTATATCATTATTTTAAAGATTTCTATAATGGCTGCTGTTTGATAGCTGTATTTGTTGTGTTTGCTACAGTTATCAAATATTTATGGAGCACCCATTCATTTGCGGTGAGAAGTTATTTTAAAATGCTTTTTGGCATTTATAGAAACAGATTCTGATTTTAAAAGCTCACCAGGGAAAATATGTACAATTACTATGTATCCATAAAAATTTTAAAAAACGCGAAAAAACTCACTAGGGATACTTGCTGGTTTGCTATATTCCTATTAGGAATTGTTCATATTTTAACTGATAGCTGTGTCTTCAGGGCACAATTAACTTAATATTTGAATGTAAGTTGTTAAGCAGAAATTAGTTACTCTAGTTGATAAAATGTTTGATTAGTAAAACTTCATGAATACTGATTTTATTCTAAGGCCTGAGCCACTAGTTTAACAGAGCACTGAAATGATTCTGCTGTTGCATTACCAAAACATTTAGATACTTTTAGCAGGAAAACTAATAGATACATAAGGGTTTTTTTGTTTTGTTTTGTTTTTTTGTTTCAACTTTAAAATTTTATCATTTTAAAATTCCTTAATATAATTAGGGTACAGATTTAAAATGAAATTTTTTTCTTAAATGGTAGGAAGCCAAACGCCTGTAATTAAATAGCATTGACATTCTGATAATGAGCTTATCATAGTACCATTCTAACATGAGCTTGAGGTCCTCACCAAAGTCTTGATGAAACATACTTTTTAAAGACATAATTTTTTAAAACCCCACTTGGTTCAAAGACACTGTCCAGAGCTCCAGCTTTGGACTTTTACCTGTAGTCAGTCATACAATTATCTGGGGTTATGCTTGTTAAGTCAGTATTTTAAAAATGAAACACCCTGATTTTGTTCACTTTTGTTTTTATATAAAAGAATCTTTACAGTCAACATGTACTTCTAGATGCTGTATTGAAATTGCTGGCAGAGTTTATTCTATACAAAATGAACAATCTGGCCCCTTGTTTTATTTGTAAAGGTTCAATGTATGTATGCCTGCCTACCTCAATCTGCAAGGGAGTGTCAGAAAGGCCCCGCATTCGCCAAGCCGTGAGTTATCGCTAACTTTTCAGATGTGTTAATGAATGTGGAACAAAAGCAGTTGTGTTTAAAAGGAAAAAGGACCATCAAAATAACTTTCATTATAGTAGCAGGCGTAAACACTAAACTGAATATTCCAAATTGTGTCAAAAATAACCTACTAGAGACGAGCTTCTAGAAAACCTATTGTTGAACTGCTCTGAAGCCATCATTTTAACTATAAATTACTGTTGTTAAAATTTTATATACCCTGGTTGCAAATTAGAATGTTTTGAAAATATCTTTAACCAAGTTAAAACAATTTGAACAAAATCTTACCCCATCTAAAAATGATAGTATTTAGTTGAATTTAAGTTAAGCTCTTTAGTATATGACCATATAAAGGGGTAAAATTTTAATCTTTTTTGTTACTTACATGTGAAAATACAGAAACTAAATGATTGAATCACATCCTACACGAAAGTTTTTGGAGTGCTCCAGGCATATCATGTGAAGTACGGAGGTATTTATATCTCTTTTGGCACCAATAGTTCTCGCTTCAGTATTTCACCAGTAGGTTTTCATTCATCGATAGTGTATCAGTTTAAGGCTAAAATAAAACACCTACATTTCTTAGGGCTTATTCTGTATAGAAAGGAAACATCCTTATGAGTTTTTTCTTTTGTCTTTCCGAAGAGATTCTAAGCAAAAAAATTGTAACTAACGTCTGTATTTTGTTATTGGAGCTAGTTACCTTTCTTTTTCTTAGATTCTTTAACGTTTTGAGTAGATAGCCATATTTGATAAGCAGGTTGGATGCTTCTTTTGCTTAGGAGGTAGGTGTATTGTGTTATATGAAGACAGAATGAATTTAAATATACCCAGTTTGGCAGTATAGAAAAGCTCAGACTACATAAAACTTGGAGGTATGGAACCTTTGGACGCATTAAAGTTAACGTTTCATTAGGCAATGTGCCTTTGTTTGACTGGTGTGTAAGTCCTTCTTCCAGGTTTGTACGCTCTTAAACGCGTTATTCTACCCTCTCTAACTCCTCCCAGCAGCAAAAGGGAGACACTTCAGCTGGAACAAAATAGTGGAAGAAATGGCGTCTGGGGTTCAGTGGGGATTCGCAGTGTGTATGCAATGTTTGCAAGATTATTTTTTATGTTTTTCAATTACTGTAAATAAAAATATATCAATACTTAGTGTCAAGAAGGGAACATTGTATACCAGTATAAACTCTCTTAGTGGGTCTGCAAGTTGCTTAACCTCTCGGGGCCTCAGTTTTCTCATCTGTAGTATGAAGGAGTTGGACTCGATAATCTTTAAAGTCCATTCCTGCTCTAAAATCCTATGCTTTTCTGAAGTACTCTATTTAACAGAATGCATTGCTTTCTCACTTTGACTATTTGAATTATGTATGCAGTACACTTACTGCAACTGCATGTTGTCTAAAATAGTTTTTCTATAGGATGTATATAAAAACTAATCCCTCTTGAGCTGATTTATAATGTGTGTATATAGCCACACATAAAAAGCTAGTAATAGTAGGGCTCTCAGAATAATACTTTCCAGTTGTCTAACCTTGAATGTTATTAACTCTTCTATATTACAGGAGATACTACTCGTCAACGAATCAAATTCAGTGATGACAGAGTATGCAAGAGTCACCTTCTCAACTGTTGTCCTCATGATGTCCTTTCTGGAACTGTATGTATTTACTAAATGTATTATTTGATTACTGATATGCTGCAGTAATGAACTACTTGATAAAGTTTTAATTCTGTGTCAAAAGAATTGACTTGTGAGGGGGGATTTGCATCCTTTATTGTTTGTTTATTCAGGATGATTACTTAAATCTTCAGTAATGGGTTTCCTCACAAAAGTGGTTGATATGTTTTGTTTTATAATATTTTCCATTCTTTACAGCAATTTTTTAAAAGCATGTTTTATTTGGAATACAGAGGTAGTTATATAGCATTTGTACTTTTAGTTCAGAAATAAAATTATTTTTAAAGTAGTTCCTTTTACTGTTAAACAGAGTAGACTTTTATCTAGTACAGTATATATTTTTGTTAAGATTTTTACACACTTATATTGTGGAATCAGTGGGGAAATATATTAGTAAATACTTATATCCACACAGCTTAATTTGGGAGTATTATCACTTAAAATATTGCTCCTCTTAATAATGTAAAGCTCAATTTTGATTCTATGTCTGCAGAAATGTTGATCTTAGAGTATCATTGTTTTAATTTGGAAGATAAACTGCATAATGGTGGACCTGTTGAAATATGGAACAAAGAGTTTGATTCTCTGACTTTTGGATTTGGTTGAAATGATTACAAGTAGCTTCCCTTCATAGCTGCATCTGATGCTGGTGGGGAGCTAGTAGGGGCTAAACCTTGAGCTGGCTTTAGTTCTCATTTGCCAGAAATGACTGAAATGAAGAAAGATTTCTGACTTGCCTTTTCAGAAGCAATGAGTTTCTTAGCCAAATGAGTGGTTTCTTCTTTGATAGGAAGAGTTAAAATTAAGGACATGCCCCAAAGAGATATGTATCAAGGCATATGCAACAGGAAACACCTTTGACTTTTTCCAGTAGGAAAGAGAGTTGAAACTGTGTTATGTTAATGGGAAAAAAAGAGCCTAGGTTTATTTTAAAGTATAATACTGGCCAGGCGCGGTGGCTCGCGCCTTTAATCCTAGCACTTTGGGAGGCTGAGGCAGGCAGATCACGAGGTCAGGATATGGAGATCATCCTGGCTAACACGGTGAAACCCCGTCTCTACTAAAAATACCAAAAAAAAAAAAAATTAGCTGGGCGTGGTGGCGGGCACCTGTAGTCCCAGCTACTCGGGAGGCTGAGGCGGAAGAATGGTGTGAACTCAGGAGGCGGAACTTGCAGTGAGTCAAGATCGCGCCACTGCACTCCAGCCTGGGCGACAGAGCGAGACTCCATCTCAAAAAAAAAAAAAAAAAAAAAAGGTGTAATACTACAAGGCAAGAAATCCAGTTTCTGAGAACAGGAATTTGGAAGGACTATGGCAGATAATAAATATAATGAACTCTAAACTTTTTTTTTTTTTTAGATACAGTCTCGCTCTGTCACCCAGGCTTGGAGTGCAGTGGTGTGATCTCAGCTCGCTCTTACCTCCAACGCCTGGCTTCAGGCAATTCTCCTGCCTCAGCCTCCGGTGTAGCTGGGATTACAGGCGTGTGCCACCATGCCCAGCTAATTTTTGTATTTTTATTTTTATTTATTTATTTATTCTTTTGAGATGGAGTCTTGCTCTTGTCACCCAAGCTGGAGTGCAGTGGCATGATCTTGGCTTATTGCAGCCTCTGCCTCCTGGGTTCAAGCGATTCTTCTGCCTCAGCCTCCCAAGTAGCTGGGATTATAGACACCTGTCACCACGCCTAGCTAATTTTTGTATTTTTAGTAGAGCTGAAGTTTCATCATATTGGCCAGGCTGGTCTTGAACTCCTGACCTCGTGATTCACCCATCTTGGCCTTCCAAAGTGCTGGGATTACAGGCATGAGCCACCGTGCCCAGCCCTAACATTTGTATTTTTAGTAGAGATGGGGTTTCACCATGTTGGTGAGGCTGGTCTTGAACTCCTGACCTTTTGATCCGTCCGCCTTGGCCTCAAAGCGCCTGGCTTTTTTTTTTTTTTGAGACAGAGTCTTGCTCTGTCAGCCAGGCTGTGAACACTGCCCACTGCAGCCTCCACTTCCTGGGCTCATGAGTTTCTCCCACCTCAACCTCCTGAGTAGTTGGAGCTACAGGCACACACCACCATGCTCAACTAATTTTTGTATTTTTTGTAGAGACTAGGTCTCGCCATTTTACCCAGGCTTGTCTTCAACTCCTGGCCTCAAGTAATCCTCCTGCCTCAGCCCCCCAAAGTATTGGGATTACAGGCGTGAACCACAGCACCCAGCCATAATAAACTCCCTTGTCTACTTTCTAACATTTTCATAATTATTTTATACTGCGCTGTACTGCATCTGAAATCCATAAAATCTATGATTGTCTATAGTATACTGTAGGTCTCCGTGTTTAATATTGTATAAAATTTAACTGTTAAAGTTATTTTAAACATTTACTTTTAATTTTTATTTACTGGCTAAATTACCACTTGAGATAAATTTTGAGAACAACATTAACAAAACCACTTGAGGCCAGGAGTTTGAGTCTAGTCTGGTCAACATAGTGAAGCCCCGTCTCTACAAAAAGAATAATAAAAAAAATTAGCTTGGCATGGTGGTATTTCCTGAAGTCCTAACTGTCTGGGAAGCTGAGACAGGAGGGTTGCTTGAGCTCAGGAATTCAAGACTTCCAAGTGAGCTATGATCACACCACTACATTCTACCCTGGGCAACAGAGTGAGACCCTGCCTCAAAACAAACAAACAAACAAAAAACAAAAAAGGAAATAAGAATCAACAGTTATAATTCAGTGTTTTTCATTCTTCATTTGAACAGCAGAGTAGAAATAGGCATCTTGAACATAAAGAGGTATGAACTATCACACTCTGTCCCAAAAAGCATTTGTTCTATAGGGAATGACTGCTACGAAGCCATAGCTCTGTAATTATAAGCTATTTGTACACATGGTGAGCTGTTAAGTTTTTCAGGTCCTTAAGTACACCATTGTATGACACTTTTGGAGTCTTACAATGTCCTTTATCTAGTCCTCAAATCTCTGCTTCAATTCTGAAAGGTTTACAACTCAAGCAATCCTCCCAACTCAGCCTCCCAAAGCACTAGGATTACAGGCAGGAGCCACTGTGCCTGGCCTTAACTGTTGACTTTATGATGCTTTTTCTTTGTTGTGTACCTAAAGATCATATGACTAAAGGTTGCCCTTTAGTTTTCTGGACCTTGTGTCTAAGATCTGTCACTTGCAGCAGAATATGATTTACCAGTATTTTAGATTATTTAGAAAAAGAATACAGAAAAGCCAGGCATGGTGGTACATACCTATAGCGCCAGCTACTTTGGAGGCTAAGGTGGGGAAGATTGCCTGAACTCAGGATTTCAAATGTAGCCTGGACAACATAGTAAGACTGTCACAAAGGAAAAAAGTATCCAGAAATGCATTTCCTGCCTTTTCTTCATTGTAAAGAGGTTGGAACTTTATATCAAGCACTTAGAAATGGAGAGTGTGATTTCTAAAAATTCTCTTCATAACTGACAGTTTGGGATTTTTTGCTATTGAGTTTTGTGAAAATGCATGTAAAACGTTTTACCTTTCATTACTCTAGTATAACTGATGCTTTTTTTTTTTTTTTTTTTTTTTTTTTTTTGAGACAGAGACTCGCTCTGTTGGGCCAGGCTGGAGTGCAGTGGCACAATCTCGGCTCACTGCAGCCTCCACCTCTGGGTTCAAGCGATTTCTGCCTCAGCCTCCTGAGTAGCTGGGATTACAGGCGTGTGCCACCACACCCAGTTCGCCAGGGTGGTTTTGAACTCCTGACCTCAGGTGGTCTACCTGCCTCAGCCTCCCAAAGTGCTGGGATTATGGGCCTGAGCTGCCGTGCCTGGTCTGGCATAACTAATTCTTAAAATAAATTAATCAGGGCTGGGCGTGGTGGTTCATGCCTGTAATCCCAGCAGTTTGGGAGGCCGATCACTTGAGGTCAGGAGTTTGACACCAGCCTGACCAACCAATATGGTGAAACCCCATGTCCACTGAAAATGTGAAAAACCAGCCAGGTGTGGTGGCCTGCACCTGTAATCCCAGCTACTTAGGAAGCTGAGGCAGGAGTATTACTTGAACCCTGGAGGTAAAGGTTGCAGAGAGCCGAGATCACACCACTGCACTCTAGCCTGGGTGACAGAGCAAGACTCTGTCTCAAAATAAATAAATAAATAATAAATTAATCAGAGGAAGTAAGACAGAACAGAGGATCAAAATAATTATATGTTTAATGATTTTTATAAGAAATATGAATATTTTCTTTATCTCAGAAAGTTACTATACTTCAAAAGCTTGCGGCTGGGTGCAGTGGCTCATGCCTGTAGTCCCAGCACTTTGGGAGGCCGAGCCCGGGGGAATCATCTGAGGTCAGGAGTTCGAGACCAGCCTGGCTAACATGTTGAAACCCCATCTCTACTAAAAATACAAAAAAATTATCCGGGCATAGTGGCGGGTGCCTGTGATTCCAGCTACTCTGGAGGCTGAGGCAGGAGAATCGCTCGAACCCTGGAGGTGGAGGTTGCAGTGAGCTGAGATTGTGCCACTGCACTCCAGCCTGAGCAAAAGAGCGAGACTCTGTTTAAAAAAAAGAAAAAATAAAAAGCTTGGATTACTTTTCTATTCTTCTAGAATATTTTCATATTGTAGTCGCTCTCTTTTCCTCATTTTGGCCCACTTTCTCCCTGCTAAATTCACTGTAGGCAGTATGCCCTTTCAGATTTAAGCAAAACAGAAAAACCTAAACCAAGTTGTCATTTTTTTCCCCAACACATTTCTTCTGGTACATATCTTCCCTGAGGAAAGATAAGGAAATTGATAGCTTTAAAAAAATATTTGCATCTAGTTCCTTGTCATCTCGAAAAAAGATACATGACAAATAATTTATAGTAGGCTTTAAATATAAAGCAAAGATGTTAACAGAAACTTGAAATTAAGATCTTAGGACGTGGAAAATGTATACTGTCATAGTATGCCTGTTCAAAATTCAGAAATCAGCACCACTAA